TGTGCACAAGGATTTCAATATCTTGTACCCCTCGCTACCAATTAAAGTAAGCAAAATACTTTCTTTATTTTCTTTTATTTTGTTTACTTGCATAAATAATTCTAGTCGTTCGACCCAACTTACAAAATCATCTTGAATTTTGTATTCTTCGATATTACCTATTTTAGCCATGTTGTGGTTTACTTTTTTTTTTATCTCTATTGATTCAATTACCTGTGCGTTTTTTATTGACTTGCGGATCCCATCTTTGTCGCCAATTTTGTGTTCTTTATTATTCTATTATTTATTATTAGTAAACACAAATTAACACATTATTTAATTATTAACATTTCTTTATTATGGCATGATACACATGTTAGAACACTCGAACATTCAATTCTCTCTCTTATCAACAATTACAAGTATTACAACGTATCATTCAATTAGTAGTGATACCAACATAAAACATCACAGAATTGAGTGTACATGTGATATGGTAAAGCATACTTATCATTTGAAAAGTCCATTCGCAAGTTGTCGTAAGGGTACGATTTATATTTAAAGTACACTTTTAGAGATGATAACGAATGATGGTCAAATCTACTACTATGTTAGTTTATTTTATTTTTTCTATCTACTTGAAATGCTACAATAACAAATCTCGGATTCTCAGTCTGTGATGAAGTTTTCACGGTCCAGGCTTGTTTTTTACTATTTGGTAGCCAGGATTTTCATATAATTCTCAACTTCGAAATGCTATTTAAAGCGGTGTTGAGGTTTCTAAGATTTTGAGCATGTCTAACCGCATGGCATCCGACCACTTACGTGTGGAACTTTCCATACAACTTTGTTCAAAAAAATTTTACAACTCGATAAATTTTCATTTGTCGAGTAAATACAGTTTAAACTGTACCACTCCGTTGCAATATTAAGTCTTGACGACAATTAACGATGACTTTTTTATGATCCTCGGCAAATCCTAATAATAACCTTAGAGGTATGCATACTTCAAATTTCATACTCAAATTTTCAGCTACAACACTCCAGCCAGCATTTTCAAACCTTGTATGATCATTAGGTGAAAACGTGACGTATCCTTTTATTGTAGACATTATCCCAGGCATACGTGATCGATCTATTTCTATTGAGTTCAATAAATATCTTATTTCAGTGAAGCAGTGAGCTAACCAATTGTTAACCAATTGTACATCTGAGCCGGCAGGAACTCCCGAGAGTTCTTTATCAATAAAGAGATAGGAATCACATGAAAGGGTGTAAACATTTTGCTGTTGAATACATATTCGTATCTCATCATTATTCGTTAGTGTGCTAACCGAAAACGGTTGATAGGAAAAATAATCCAATTTCACTAAGCGGTCTTCATTGTACGGTGTTTACTTCCATTACTTCTAAAATATCGTCCATTGTTAATTGTATATCCCAAAGCTGAAAGAATGTCAAGGTTTTCACGTCGTATCTTTTCAACTAGTCGTTGTTTAATGATTGGTTTTTTAATATTACTCTTGGTTTTATTGAATCGAAGAGCCATTGCGTATATGTAGACGTATGCTATTAGGCTCACCTCTAAAGTTAATTGCTTTATCGTCTTGATCTTGACACGGTATAAAGGTGTTCAAAAGGTTATTAATAATAATAAACAAACGTAACACCGTTATGGAGTCCACTTAAATTTTATTTTAAATTATAATAATATTATAAAGACTGGTGTACAGTGAGGTGCGAAATACAAAAATTAATAATGCGCTGATGAAAAATCACACGGCACGTACGGCGGATGTAAGTCACAGATGAACTTGTTTACATAGTCGCCGACGTGTCTCTCGATGCTGAACCCCCTGACCTGTCCTATCTACCGACCGTCGGATAAGACGAACTTGTGTTATCGTCAACACTAATGAGTGCGACGGTGGACAGCTGATAATCACGACCGGATAACGTGCTAATTCACGGTAAATGAATAGTGCGCTATTACGGGCCGTGTTAATCTGTTATTTTCACAGTTATAGAGTATAGTGCTATAATTCAAATAACAAAAATTAATAAAATAAAAATGGAAATAAAGATGATAATGAGGGTCTTGGGTTTTTGTATACAATGAGAAACTGATGTTGTGATTCTATCGGGGTCGTATGGTTCAAGGGTTTAGAACAATAAAGACAAGTAGATATAAGAGAAATTATTAATGTTCCTCTATAGAGGTATTACAAATGACCTAACTGGTAAGTACCTGAAATAATATACTGAGGCAACGAAGAGGCGGTAGCCATCTCACGAATATCCAGTTGAAGTATATATATATAGTAGAAATCACATTATGTTTTTAAACTCTTTTAGGCAACGATGAGGCGGTGGCCATCTCACGAACACCATGTTATGTGATTATGTATAAGGTACGAATTAGTCAGTAATAATTAATGAAGCTTGCAAATAAATATGATTATACGATCTATTGCTTTATCATTCTTTACTCTGATTATTAACTCTAAATAAATGGGATAATATAAATTGACTTACCTTCGTATTCTGTAATGTCCAAGAAGATAAATGAAGTATTTACCAGAAATGCCAATTTTTACTCAATATTATTCATTTATGGTAATAATGTCTTTATAGACTAAAATAAGTTTTAAACACAAATAAGGTATACACAATAAGGTAACTCAAACGGCAGCACGGGGCCGTGATCAAAAATGTAAAAGAAATAGTGGTTCGTAAGAACAAACTCACTTGGCTTCTCAATGGACATCAGTGCTTTTTATAGTACTGAAAAGGTACCCCCATATCCAGGGATATTGCCGTTTGTGCTATTCATAAATAGTAAAAAAAATTGAATATATTACCATAGCTTTTAGCTCAATTACAAGTTTAAAATTGACATCTAGGCCAGTCAACAAAGGAAACATTGCGGAAAAAATTCCCAACCAAATTTTGTTTTTTTAAAAGTTGAATTAAAATGTGTATAATGACATACTAATAGTCCTACTAATTTAACTTACAATTCATTTCTATAACTGTTCTTACAGCTTCCAATTCTTCTCTCCTCATAACATGACTAAACAATCTAAGTCTATTTTCTCTCATCTTATCCACAATTGACACTACACCTATACTCACTCTTATATACTCGTTCCTTATTCTATCTTCTCTAGTCACTCCACTCATCCAACTAAGCATTCTCATCTCTGCTACACTTATTCTCTGCTCTACTTTCTTATCAACCGCCCAACACTATGAACCATACATCATAGCTGGCCACACAATTTCATACTAAATTTAAAAACTATAATTAGTATTTATTCATATATTATATTTTAAAATCAAAGAACTACTAATCAGGATATAATTAAAGAAATAAGAGTTGATGTTGCTTTTAGAATAATCCACCAATATCTCTAAATGAAACACTATCTACAGGTTTGCATCGAAGTATTTCTTATGATAGTGATTTTAATCACTACCATATATCATACTTGACCCAAGTATGCCACGTCACCATTGTGACGCGATCCTCCTGTGCTGGATTTTTTTAATATTATACTAATTAGTTAAAAACTATAAGGAAAATAGTTCTGAATATTTCAATTATTATCATCTATAGTATTTCCGGAACAATGTCAAAAATTAAGTTGAAAAAGTACTAGTTTCTATACCCATGATAAAAAATAGCATTTGATAGCCATTTTCACTGTGAAGATAAAATAAAGTCCAACATTTTTTCCATAATAAAGAATATTACATTAGCTTTAATTTAAGATATATAAAAAATAGTCAGTATTTCCTAAACACTTTCAAAAAATTTAAGTTGAAAAAGATATTTTTTTGTAAAAAGTTGTCATATTGAATCCCCTCTGTGGGCAGATACAGGGTCAGATTGAAAAAATATATATGCCAAATGATAGGTAAATACCTACTATATCTATTAAAAAAAAATTATATCGATTTGGTAATTTTTCAAAAAGTTATGGCAGTTTTAAGTAAAAAAAATTGAAAAAATGTCGAAATTTAGCGATTTTTAAATTTGTTATTTTTTTGAAGGTTTCCGCCATTTACGGGACTAAGGGAATTTTTTTCTATTTTTGAGGGTAATGTCTTCGACTAGATATGATTTGTGATCTTTAGACGTATTGTTGAAAGAAATCGGTTCATTGAGCTGAGAAATAGTGGTAACAGACACAAAAAAAAATAACACATCACAATAAAATTATTACCTTTTCAGCTTCGCATCGTCGGATATCATCTTCACTTGTACTACCAACTTTGCCGTATCAATTCTGTACTGAGACCTTACTGAGCCGAGTTTTTGTATATATTTTTTATGTTGTTTTTTATTTTTATATTTTTTATATAAGGTAATTTCATAGTTATAACTTATACAATTTTTAATAAAATAAAAAAAAATTTTTTTACTTGTCGGAAGTTGTATTATTTTTAAAATAAAAATAGTTAAAAATAGTCCATAGTTTTTAACAACCATATGATGTAAAACTCTAATATTTGGTCAACTGAGATAACAACAAACGAACAACGATAACACATAATCAAATAATATTTTGTTACAAGTTAGTTTAGCCATTTACCCGATATGATAAACAATTTTTGTGTTCATTGTTGATTAAACTAATTTACTTATTAAACGAGTATATATTAATATAATATTTATATTTATTATATCTATTAAACTTATTAAACAAAGTTGCATAATAAATTAAGTATAAGGATTAAAGATACATTTTTAATCGTGATTTATGGTATAAAGTTTAATAAAATGATAATATCAACATTAACCTTATATTACAGGATTAATGTTTTATATAATAGCTGCTATCATTATCACGTACTATTATACACACCCAATTTTTAAAAATTCTTTTTTTTTATCATATCATATTGGTTATCTTTTGTCCCCTCCACAAAAGACCTGTCTTTGGGTAAATATCGCACTATGTGATTGAGGAAATAATGCGACTTAGTCAGTCATCTGGCAAAAAATATCCAATAAATTCTTTAAAAACTTAATATAACTTTTTATATTTTAGTAAAATCAATTACAATAAATTGAAAAATAATATTTATACACAATTTTTTTTTAATAGAACTTCTAAAACTACTGTTATACATTTTATTTATCTTATTGACTTGGATCTTTGCTAATACCTACTGCCGCTGCTCTAACGACACGGTCGTGTAACTTGTAACCTATTTGTGATACTACTACTACTAATCCTCCTTCCTTGCCTTCAACAACCTATAAAATTAAAAAAAAAATTTTTTTCAGTGTTGATTTAATAACGTTAACCACTGTTGAAAAAGTTATCACTTTTTAAAATCCTAGCGGGGTTCCTGTTATAAACAAGAAAAGTAAAAAAGATATGATAAATCCAATAATTATTTTTCTGTACAATTTGTTTTAATTTTTGGATTGTTGACTATGTTATAAGCATATTTGTTTTAAAACATTATTATTTTTATTTCAAAATAGTCATATTTTAGCCAATTTCTTACAAAAAATGTTGCTGGGTCAAAAATAATTTTAATATATGTACTCATTGAATTATAAGTATTTTAATACATAGAGTAGATATGTAGTGTAGATAACAAACAACAGTACTTAACCACTCCATGTATTAAAATGTTTATATTTCAAACTTGTATTAAAATTATTATTGACCCAGCAAAATGTTTTGTAAGAAAATGGCTAAAATATGAAACTATTGAAATTTCAAAAAAATGTATTTTTATATTTTACTTATAAGAGATAAATAATAAAAAATATGCTTTTGACAGTGTAAAAAATTCAAAAACTGTTAAAAAATGTTACAGCGTAATGATTGTTGGATCAAATTATTGGAATTGTCATATTTACTCATATTAATTGTCATAAACATTACTCGTTGTATGTACATTATACGAAATTTGGTGTCATCACATCTCAAATAGGATTAATTTTACGTCGTATGAAAAGGAATACAGCGACATCAGAATCGAAAAGCAAGGTAAGAGTCGCCTACCTTATTATTCCTATCCGTTTTTAATATTGTGCTTTGTATAATTGGTTTCCTCAAGAAAGTAAATAACTAAAAATAAACCTGCACCCAAATAGTACTGTTGTGAAAGTCGCAAGAATTTTTATCAAGTTTACTGATTAGATTACAACATTACAGTAAACAGAAAATGTAGTAGAACCAGCACAGCTGTTTAGTTGGATTTTGTTGGGTTTACTCATTTATTTTTATTCAAACGGATTTTTTCTATTGTTTTTTTCATTTATTCTTATTCAAAATAAGTGATATTATAAGCTTAAACAAAGAAGAGATTAACTCAAGCGTATGCGAACAAGATTTTTATCCCGCAGGGGAATCCACAAGGATAACGGGCCTAACAACCCCGCGGACCCTATTTATTTCAATAGGGGTGGCAACACGTACCACTGCTCTTAGCCGGTCATGACTTTGGTTAGTTGGGACCGGTAGGCCTGGGCATACCTGCTTGCTAACAGTGAATAGGCCCCCCTAACCCAGCAATACCAAGTGAAAGGGTTGCTAACTTGTTACAGGGTAGTTAGCCGAAAGGTAAAGTGACCATTGAGATCCTTTATGGCACCTGGCGCACCATAGAGTATACAGCCTTATAACAGTATTGAGCTCTGCTGTGACGGACCTTAATTTCTCGACTTTTCGTGGGAACTATATGGATAAAAACATAGAAAAACCACAAAACAACGAACTTATGACGATCAGGGATCCTACGGACAACCTGTCGGAACAAGATCGTGAACTGGCGACTCTTCGCAGAAGAATTCCAATAGGCAATACTGAACCTGCTGGTATACAAAAATAGGAAGATAACTATCTTAAGTGATAGTCAAGCGGCTTTGAAAGCACTCTAAAACGATCAGGTGAATTCAAAGCTGGTCCTCGAATCCAGGGAAACTTTAGAATCACTATCGAGGTTCAACAAAGTTACACTTACAGCGTGGGTACCGGGACACAATGGTGTCACTGGAAATGAGAATGTTGACTTTCTAGCCAGGAAAGGAGCAGAGAACACCTATGTTGGCCCAGAACCAGTGGTAGGGCTCACTGAGCAATCGCTCAAAGCGTTACCCAAGAATTGGTGCAGAGAACAACACAGGAAAATCTGGAAGTACTTGGTAGTACCTAGACAATCTAAAATGTTTATCAAGACCCCTGGTTTATTGCTAGGTGATCTTAATAGCATGACTAGACATCAAATAAGCACCCTGACTGGTCTACTGACAGGACATGGTCACCTGCTTAAGCATCTTAACGCAATGGGGGTATCGGAATCACCATTGTGCAGGAAGTGTGGAGTAGAAGAGGAAGACTCATTTCACATCATGTGCGAATGTGAAGCCTTGTCCACACTAAGATCAAACTACTTGAATAAACCATTTCCTGAAAAAGAGGATATTAAAAACCTAAAACCCAGAGAGATACTTAATTTCGCCAGAAAGACAGGACTCTTGGGTCATCTTTAGAGGTGACTTTATGGTTGGTAATGTATTAACACTTTGGTGATAACACTTAGGTGGGTAAACCAAATCAAGACAATTCGGTATGAGGTGTGCACAATGGACCAACAGGTCTGAGTGCATGGGCAACTAAAAAACTAAAACAAGATTTTTAAATGATTTAAAAGCTGAAAATCCAGATAAAATAGAAGTAGGCTTGCGTGAAGATAAGTTAGAGGATATTTGGAATGAGTATCAGCAAGTACAAGCTGAAATAGATGTACAAGAGAGTGTTGATCAAGAGGAGCAAGCTAATTATAGAGCATATTTTGAGGATTTATATTTTGATGTGCAGGTGGGAGTCATAAGAATTTTGGAGACGCAAGTAAAATAATCTTTAGTCGATTTGACGTTTAATAATTCAAATCATATCCCTACGTCCAGTCCTGCGTACATGGGTGCTAAAGTAAAGTTGCCTGAATTGTCTATTCCCACTTTCTCAGGATATTATCATTAGTGACCAACATTTAATGATTTGTTTACATCGTCGATACATCAAAATAATGTTTTATCTAGCATTTAAAACAATTTCTATTTGCGTTCTGTTTTTTCGGGTGAGGTGTTAAGCAATATTACTTGTTTGGAAACTACTGCTGCTAACTATGAAGATGCTACTAGCGCGTTATAGTAATAAAAGAACGTTGGTTTCAAAACATATAAAGGTAAAACTACGTAATCTTGTTTATGGGATTATGGTGCATATACGCGCGCTCCAAGCATTAGAGCAAAAAACAATGGAATTGGGTTCTTTATTACTTCATTTGTTATGCACTAAATTATATAAACGGCCACTTGAATTGTGGGAGGCTCAGTCAATTGATGAAAAAATATTCGAAGTATCTATATTAATCGAATTTTTGAGCAAGCGCTATCGGTGTCCAAAATTACTATCATTAATAATTGACCAGCAAATAAAAAAGATCACGGAGTTAAGTTTGCACAAGATTTATTACATTTTCCGCCGCGGAACAACGTTATCGAGGCATCATTAAGTGCTTCAGTCAATAGCACTAATAATAACAAAAGTAATGACACACCTATAACATCAAATACGCTTCCTACCAATAACGAGTCAACGACCATGACAGCCCAAGCAGTGGTTGACAAAAATAGCGCAGTGTTATTATCTACAGTGGTGGTATTAATACGTAGTGAACGCGGTGAGCAGGTCATGTGTTGTGTGTTGTTAGATTCGGGATGCGAGAGTAATTTTATCACAGAAAAAATGGTGCAATTATTAAAATTACGAAAATTCAATGTTAATCACAACGTATGTGAAATAGGTGGTATTTGTCATACTACCACAGTAACGATCAGCTCGCGTTTCGACTCATTCGAATTAACCACATCATGTCTAGTAGTAAAAAGTATAACAAAAAATATACTGTCTTCTTATTTACAGAAAAGTGTATTTAACTACCTGATAATTTGCCGTTAGCTGATCCTTCTTTTATGTTACCGTAAAAGATTAACTTTTTAATTGGTGCTCAGCATGTATGAAAATAAAATAGCTTTAACGTTGGAAGAAAAAATGTGTAATATATTGTTTAATAGAACAATTAAACGCAGCGAAGACGGCTGGTTTATAGTAAGTTTGCCCTTTAAGGATAATTTACTAAACCTAGGCGAGTCTTATAACAATGCGTTACGACGATTTCTTTTACTCAAAAAACGCCTTCAACGGAACACAAATTTAAAAAATAAGTATGTTAAGTTTTTAAGCGAATACGAAAAGTTGGTCATATGGAATGTATAGACGAAGAAAAGGAAAATGAACCGTCAAAAGTATGTTACATTCCCCACTACGCAGTACAATATTTAAATACGTTTAGTATTTGACGCGTCATGTAAAACATCCACAGGAATATCATTAAATGACGTTCTCTTTTAAGGTCCAGTTGTTCAAGACGAGTTACTTTATATTTTATCGCGATTCCGTAAATTTAATTATGTCATAACCGGTGATATAGAAAAAATGTACCGGCAAGTCTGAATAACAGATAGTCATCGAAATCACCAATGCATCTTATGGCGACCAGATCCAAGTCTGACAATAAAAGAATATAAATTAAAGACGGTAACATACAGGACGGTTCCCGCTTCATTTTTAGCCACCGCGTACCTTAATAAATTAGCTAATGATAACATAGCACAGTATCCAGAAGCTTGTCGTGATATATTGGATTGTTTTTATGTTTATAATTTCTTGGTTGGATGCGATTCCATTGAAGATATTATAAAATTATGCAATGGTGTTATAACTGTTTTATGTCAAGCATATTTTGTATTGCGAAAATGGTCTTCTGGCGAGCCTAGAGTACTAGCGGGATTAATATCCACCGTCGATAGTATTCGTGTTATCGCCAATGAGGGCGGGCTCATTACAAAAATACTCGGCCTTCAGTAGGACGCCCGAGTTTATGCGTTTTACTGCACTGTACAAAACATAAACATTACTCATCTGAAAGCAATCATACAATATTAGCATACATATCCGCTATTTTTGATCCAATAGGACTAATTGGTCCGGTTAAGGTGTTAGGCAAGTTAATCATATAGCAGTTATGGCAGCTTAAAGTGGGCTGGGGCGATGTTATTCCCGAAAAAAATTAAACTGATGGGTTATTAAATGTTAAACGGCTTGTATTTATTAACAATATTGTTATTCCTCGTTCAATTATTAATGAACAACATAATATTGAATTTAAAGTTCA